GTATATGGTCCAGCCCCCACAATCACACATAATCTACTCTGGCCTTTCCTTCTCGATACTAACCACCATCTATTTTTCAACTAAACTACTGTTAATTCACTAACTTCCCCCCCCCCCATCTGCTACAGTGGTGTGACCCAAAAATGTTACAGTACATACAGAAGATTGAACTTGGACAAAATATGGCAAACACAAAATGGTCCAGAAGGACACTAGTACCCTCCTAAGCCAGGTTGTTACAATACTTTTGTGTAACATACTTTTGTAAAATGACTTTGTTAAAATATTTCCAAAGGATAGCCAAGTTAGTCTGTAACAAGAAAAACTTAAACAACAACAAATAGTCTAGTAGCACCTAATCTGTCTGTCTGCAAGAGGGTACCTCTGCGCAAACACGCACCAATGATACCCGGTGACGAGTGACCGGGGAAATGCAACAGCATGCAGTCCATTTAAAAGAAAGGACAGATTCTGTCACTGTACTTCAGCATCTATGAGAAATGTGGTCGAGTGGAGGATTAGGCATCAAGTCTCCTGAGTTTGAGGCCTGTCTCCACTCCAGACTCGCTGTGTAAGTTCCTTTTCCTGTTAGTGACATGGGAAGACATCCATGCCAGGAGAAAGAAGCTGTGTGCCTCGGAGAACCTCAACTGAAGGGAACCCCCCCCACACACACACACACAAGAGAGACATTACAGAGCATCCTCCTTCCCATGCCCCATCCTTAAATGGTCTATTTGAAAACCATGGGAAGGTGGGTGGGCTAAGCCCGCCCACGTTCTAAAAGCCCCTCCCCAGCCTTACGGGAGGGACAACTGGACCCATGTCCAACTGGTTACGGGGGACAAATAATGATGAAAGGATCAAGGAGTGCGGGTCACAGGTTTAAAATAAGGGAGCCGGATGGGGACACCGAGCAGAGACCCCCGGACAGCGCCCACGGCTCCTCAAAGCTGTCGATGGAGCCAGTGGACGCCGCCAGAGGAACTCTGCCCGGATTCGTGACACGAGGGAGGAGCGGAAATAGGCCCCACAGTCGCAGAGAACCCCCTTGTCCAACATCTTACTCCTGGTGTTATAGATGGCAACCTTTGCTAGGGCCAGGAGTAGGTTGACGAGGAGGTCTCGCGACTTTGTGGGGCCACGGATAGGGTGTGCATACAGGAAAAGGTGAGGAGAGAAGTGCAGCCAGAACCTCAATAAGAGGTTCTGGAGGAGTCGGAATAGGGGCTGGCGCATTCGAGATATGCGTGAGCCAGGTTTTCCCTCACGCTGCAAGAGGGACAGGCTTCCGGGATGGGGGTGAACCGTGCCAGGTACATGCCCGTGCTCACGGCCCTGTGAAGGAGCCGCCAACTAATGTCCCCGATGGGCCGTGGAATTAAGGTGGAATACACACTGGCCCATCGGGGTTCCCCACCCTCTATAGGTCTTAGATAGTCCCGCCACTTGGAATCAGGGCGGGACACGAGAGTGGGGAAATGCAGAGGGTGGAGCACGAGCGTGTACAGATGTTCTCTAGGCGTGGTTAGAAAGCACGATAAAAAGGGGCCAGATTAAAAAGGGATGGAGGGTTTGCAGGAAGGGAGGGGCGGGGTATACAGATGGTGGTCCGTGAACGGGGCTGGCCGGACGCTGGAGGAGTGGGCTCATGCCAGATGGGACCAGGAGAGGTAAATGCGATCCAACCGGGAGTGACTCGTCCGCTCGTCCCCCACCCGGACGTAAGCAAAGGTGGTGCTGTCATCCAGGTGGTGGTCTCGCCAGACGTCCACCAGGGAGTGATGGTCCACAATCTCCCTGAGGACGTCTGCTGCAGCCTAGCAGTTCGCGAGTCCTACACGGTCCCGGTCATCGAGGGTGGTGTTGAAATCTCCACCCAGGACCAGGCACTCGCGAGGATCCAGAGTGCCGAAGAAGGTGGCCGCCCACCGATAAAAGGTGACCTGGTCCGGGCCCGCGTTCGGGGGCTAGACCTTC